GTTAGCCGTTAGCGGTGCTGCTAACGTTACTAGCTCTCCTCCTGTTGCTTTAAACACTGATTGGTTGTTTACAATGAAACATGATCAGAGACTAGAAACACATGTTCTACTGAGTCAGTAAAACTTTATTTACACTGAGATGGTTAACGATAAACTTTATTTACACTGAGATGGTTAACGATTAAACTTTATTTACACTGTGATGGTTAACGATAGACTGAGTTATTAATCTGTGAGGGGGTCAGTACGGATCAACAACGGTCCGTTACACCACTTTTAAAAAGCCTCTCAGACTAAAGCGTTCTTTAAAGGGTTAACATGGACACAGTTTCTCCTCAAAGAAAGGTCAGGGGTCAGTCCTGCTCTTTGGTGAACTAATCCTTCACACCAGCACTAATTTGAGGGAAGTTTGCTTCCATTAAAACAAAAGATAATTAGACTCTTCCAGTTAATTTGGACTCTGAAGTTTTTTAGGATTACGTTGTTTAGCTGAATGTGCAGAGAAACCAGATGCTTAAGAGGTTGTTACCTCAACATCTGATCTTTCTAAAGAACCCTTTACACCTCATCACGGACCGCTGGAAGCATCTCCATAACCTCAGAAATATCTCATGCATCTCTTTCAAGTTCCATCAGGAAACCCCCTCAAGGACGCCTGGAATCCCATCAAACATTCATTTCCAGCACTACGAGAATCTTCTATAATACCCTCTGATTTTGAAGGATGCCTGGGACCACTGAAACCTCCTCAAGAATTCTTGTAACCCCCCCCCCAAAACCCCTTGAAATCTTAATACCCACTCCTAAAATGGCATTTCTAACAAGCCCTAGAGCCTGGTCTTTGAGACTTGAAGCCCTCTTTGAAGTCCCTGGGATCTTTTCAAGGACACCAGCACCCCATCATAAACAGCCTTTGGACAAATGATTCCTCTGAATGAACATTTGGAACACCCTAACAGCAAAACCTGCTAAAAGCACCTTAGCAACCCCCCCAAAACAACCCTCCGGTCCTCCTCATGAACTGAACACTTTGGATCTCGACATAGAAGTTGGAACATCCTTGATAGTCAAAGTAATCAGGATCTGAGGATCCTCGGTACTTGATTAAACACAATCACAGCCTCAGTACCTGTTTGAGCTCAATAACCTCCTCAGGGACCCCATCATGGATCCATGGAACATTAAGAAAGACAGTCCAAGAACCCCAACAGCATCCTCCAGTACTCAAACGCTATCAAGGCACATTGGAGGCCTATCAAGCACTTTTGTAACATACATAGATAACTTGTCAAAGTCCCTGGGACTTCTTCAAGGGCCTCTTGATCCACAGCATCACTGAAATCTACTGAAGTCTCTCAAAGATGCTTTGAACTGCATCCAAGACCCGTTCAAGAACCCAGAAAACCTTTTTGAAACTTGTGCAGCCTTTGTAGACCTCCTCCAGAACCCCTCAAACCACCTCTGGAACCTCCAAAACCCTCTTTGGAACACCTTTAAGATGTTGAATATCCTACTTAGAACCAAGTTGGGTCACACTGGTTTTAATCTGGTTCCAGTCCAGGCGGTCTCACCTCGCTGAGGATCACCCAGACCGGCGAGTCCGTCAACACTGAGAGTCGCATGGCCTCCAGGGGCCCGAAGGTGGGGTCCACCTCCCCCTCTGCGATCCCGTTCTTGAACGTTCCTAAAAGAGATGAAGATCAATGAGA